AGGTGTGAACAAACTTCGACTCTCTGCACCCCTTTGCCCTTAGAGAGAAAATGAAGGAGCTGTCCGAGTGTGTGCATAACTCCATGTTTAAGTAGTGAAACGTTATATCATGTTCATATTGTCACGCAGTCAACATGAAGAAATAATATATATATATATATAGATAGCCCACATACATCTCGAGATCGGAATCAGACCTGCATGGGGGGGTGTGGGAAGCTAACCTGAAGCTATCCTTGTAAGAAATCTTAAAGCCCAAAACCCTATAAACCTAACATCCGCAGCTTGAAAAGCGCAACAGCTGGAACCCTTCAAGACACGCAGAGCACATGCCAGAGACGCGGGTGGCAGGAATGTGCAAGCCGAGCTTGGCGTCACGACGGCGACCGCGAAGCATCAACACCTGCACGAAGGAGCGGGGTCTCGATCGAGGGTCTAGGGGGTTCTAGTTCGCTGTCCGTGGCTCTACAGTAGCAAGTGCACTCGTCAATATAGACACATCATCCACAGCATGAAGCTCACTGACCGACATGGGAAAATTGGCCGTTGAGTTTCTTTTCCAGCAGCATGGCTTCAAGACTGCTTCGGCGAACGTGTTTCAAAGAATCGTTGCTAGGTTCTCCCAGCATCGTCAGCACTGGCATCCAAAATTAGAGCGGTGCATGGAATCCTGTGCAAAGCTGCAGCCGAGATCGTAAAGCTGCTCGCTAGCAAATATAGACCCTGCATGTTTCTATGTGTATTCGCACAACCGTAGCATGTGATTGTATAACAGCATGCACAGCTTACCAGACTGCCACCCAACATCACTCCACAAGATGAGCCTATCACACCGACGGCAAAAGGGCCCTATGTTCCCCGTAAAACCAGCCTACTCTCACCGCGCTGTGCTGCTCACCCGCCAGCCAATCCACACTCAATGATGCCGTGTGCCATCAGTCGAGGTTGTCATCGCAAACGTCTCGCACCTTCCTCAGTTTCGTGGTAGCCGGTGGAATTTATCACGGATACATAATGAATGCCTATCCAAAATGGTACCATACACAGGCTTCCAAAGGGCTTCAAGAAGGCTATGGTCGCTTCCTCGATGTAGCGGCAATCGTCGGAGTCGATCGGGGGTTGCTTGCTTTTGAACTCAACGACCGTGTTCCAGAAATCGTACTGGCACAGGGTGGGGCGGGCATCTGCCGACTTTTGCCCACACCACGCGTGTGTATATAATACATGTAGAGATGTGTCATGTACAGCACCTCTGAATGTAGCCATATATGTGTGGTTGTATATGTACATTCATAGCGAGAGAGAGAGAGAGAGAGAGAGAGAGAGAGAGAGAGCGCCGGCATGGCTTTAACAAATAACATATTATTCATTCGTATGAACACATAGAAAAATGTCTGTATATTATGTGCGGTTGTCAAACCACGAGTACATAATTTTCACGTGCACATGTATGCATTCGCATACTGGTTCCCTATAACGATCTGTTTACTACATTATACCAGATGGCCAACAATCTTAAACCGGCTTGCAAGCACTACACTTGTGTTAGTGCTGTTTGTTCAAATAGCTGATTCCCACCTCAGCTTTGCACTTCGTTCCCGGCTCGATCTCACACTCCACCTGGTTCTGGAAGGCCCTCACAATCCGGCAATAACGCTCCAGAGCTGCCACACCCGCGGGGATCGCTCTGCGGGCAAAGGAGTTCGGAAGCGTGGCCTGATTATCGCGCAGGAAATCGGAAGCTTGGGGACGAGCAGCAGGCTTCGAGTTCGCAGCCTTCTTACCCTTTCCTCGGCCCTTCCCAAGATCACGTCTTGCAGGCGTGTTGAAGATAGGCTTCGCAGGGCTGCCCGTGAAAAGGGTCCTGGGGCGGATCGGAGAGGCAACACTCTCAGCCCTCTCATTGCCCGGCTTCTCGTCGGCCGTAGGCTCCGTGGGTGACTCCAACCCGCGCTTGCCATTGCTCTTGGCTTTGGCTTTGGCTTTCGCCTCCGATTTCGGGTGGGACTTGGGTTCCGGACAGGCCTTTGCCTTGGATTTGGCTTTCGCCTTCGCCTTCGCCTTCGCCTTCGCCTTCGCCTTCGCCTTCGCCTTCGCCTTCGCCTTCGCCTTCGCCTTCGCCTTCGCCTTCGCCTTCGCCTTCGCCTTCCTTGACCGCTGGCTTCTCCTTCACAGGGGCGAGCGGCACCTCGGCAGCCTCATCACTGGAATGCTTTCCACTCGGCTCGGGCGATTTCGGGTCGCCCTTGCCACGGCCCCTGCCGCGGCGGCCCCGGCCTGCACCGCGGCCTGTGCTGCGACCTCGGCCACCATCGAGATGGTCCGCACGCGTGTCTTTGCTGCCTTTGCCTCTGCCACGCCCACGCCCACCTTTGCGAGCTTCGCAGAGGCGTCGCATCTGTTCGTCCTTGGACACGGCTTCCTGATTGGGAGGTGCGTGAGCACACAATGATTGCACACACACACACACAAAACCTAAATGCATAACACCATCGCCTGCAAAGGGCTGATCGTTGGCTTCGGGCTGTTATCCCCCATCTTGCTCAACGTGGAGCCCGGGGACCGGGGGACTCGGCATGGGCTCCCGAAAGCTTCAGATGGGGTGCGCTGCCCCAATGGGACAGGGCTCTCCGAAGTCTCTGGTTCGTCCGGCAGGAAGGGCCGGCGACTTGCCGGCTCCTCAAGCCTAGCATCATCCCCCCACACATTCCTCTTCAAAGCAGGATTGCGCTGCAGCATTGCGGCCACTGCTTCCATCTCCTCGAAGCTTGCCGGCAATGTGTCCTCGTTGGTTGCATCGGCCGGCACTCCCACATTCATGCTTCCCTTGTCTACGGTCGGAGAAGGTGTGGTCCCCACCATAGGGCAGTCCAGCTGAACTGGGGAGCCTCCACAAACAATGATCTGTGATTAACATTGAGATCTCCACCGATTGACAAATACAGTTCGCAAAAACCTAAAGCATTCGTTGTGCGACTATGTATCTTAGCCGAACAAGTACGAAACCAGAAACAATGTTTGAAACCACTCAAGTGTCACAAACCCATGCTTCGGAAACCCTCGATGAAACTCTATATATATATATATATTTACAAAAAAAAGTACGGGCATGACACGAACCATATACATCCAGAACGATCGCCGGCAGCTCGTGCATGAACATGGTATGTAGCATACTGAGGCTTCCACGTGTATGCATGTGCATGAACATTATCCAGCATGCAGCATGCAGGCCTAGAGCCTCCGACACGCCGAAACTGGATGTACTTGATCTGCGCTCCCTCAGAAGCAGCACAGGAATTGGAATCGAAAGATTTGCGGGATGTCTACACCTATCTATCTATCTATCTATCTTTCTATGTTCTTTGAGGATGCTTTCAATCATAAGGAGGTACACAGGCATGCATACATACAAACAAACATACATATACATACATAATAAATACATACATACATACATACGTACATACATACATACGTAGCCTATCTTAAAATTGTTACACGGTAAAACAACTTATAAGCTATATACATATACATGGGAAGGATGCGCTACATTCTTCGTGCATCACGATTCTTTGTGTGTGTACATATATATATATATATTTGTAACTTTAATGTTTAGATAGATATAGATATATGTATTCTTGGACCAAGGGATATGTATATATATATATACATAC